TCTCTCTCTCTCTCTCTCTCTCTCTCTCTCTCTCTCTCTCTCTCTCTCTCTTTCTCATTCAATGACTTCAAAGACAACAGATGTCGCATTGTATACAAAATGACACTGTTATTTGTCTTTAAGGCTTTTGAAATTCAAAACGACACCTTTTGTTCTTTAGTGTGTACATTTAATGCCAGTTTAGCCAGAACAGAAATGTGACTACAGTTGTAGCTTGTTTTACGCCCACATCGACAGAATTAGACTGTATAGGAGGTGGTCTGCACACGGGCCTCTGAGATTTTTCTTTCTTTTCCGAGAAGGCTAGGTGTTAGATCTTGTCTACTCTAAGATCAGGGGTGTGGCTGAAAGACATCACTAAGAAGGAGCCAAGGAGTAGCAGTAGAAAGGCTGCAGAAAGATTTAGGAGCCCAGAGGAAGGGACAAGGGGAAGGGGAAGGGTGTGGGGCATGGTTAGAGAGCAGGGAAGGAGGGGAAAGGAGATTTTAGAGAAGAACATTTTCTGTCACTGTCAAGTTTCAAACCCGGGAATCTATTGAATGAGAGGCGAACATCATGACCTCTAGACCACGAGAGGCCCTGAATACTCTGGAACTACGACAGGCAAACACCTGGCTAAATTTTTAAAATAAAAACTTGTAAAAAAAACCCCAGTCAAAAACGATCACCTGTCTAACACAACCACCTGTACGAACGACCACGACGCATTTGCCCATTGTAGGTCTTTCTGCAAACATAATAATTACACTGTGTTAGACGACCACCAGTCTAAAACTGCCGTTCTCTTCTCAACAATGCTCTGCCTCAGAATTACAAAGTTCTATCTGCTGAATACCTACTTTGGAAGAATTTGACGTCAGCCTTATTGAGTCTCACAACATACTAAGCTTTTCGAATGCAATTCTTTGAATATCTTGATGATGACTCCAAATTTTCTTACGATTTTGATGAAGCAGATAGTACATTTAATTTGCTTTCTGACCTCAGAGTCTCAGTAACTCAAAACGGCCAAAAATAACAGATAGAACTTTGTAATTCTGAGGTAGCGAAAGGGTGGCCGTCTTAGACAATTTCGACTGTACAACGTGCTATTAATGTTACCCGCAGTAAACGATACATTTCCGAAAGAGCAAGAACAGACAGCTGGATATAGAAATTCGTACAAACTGCAGTGAGGTTACTGAACACAGAGTGCTTTAATGAAATAGAGGTAGATAGATAGATAGATAGATAGATAGATAGATAGATGGATAGATGGATAGATGGATAGATGGATAGATAGATAGATAGATAGAGAGAGAGAGAGAGAGA